CAGGTAAGGTTTATGACATTAGATTTCAATTAAGTTACTGTATTGAAGAGATAAATTACAACCGCTAATTCAAAAAACAATAAGGATTAAAATGGGATTTAAGATTCTTTATAGGCTTATTAATTCAGTTAACTCTAAATAATGTGAAGTTCGAATTTAAAAGCAAACAAAAGAGAAATCTATGGAAATGATTTAACATAAACTGTAGGGAACATTCAAACTGCGATGATGAATCAAGGATAATCCAAGACACTTTGCAAAAATTAGAAAATCTGTGGGAGAGGAAAAATAATTTTTCCTCTACCCTTCTATGTTCTTGGCTGAAACCCTTCTATAATAAAAGACAGATTAATAGGAGAAAAACAAACACAATTTTTTTTTTTTAGATTTTATTTATTTATTTATTTGACAGAGAGAGAGAGAGAGAGACAGAAAGAGAGGAAACACAAGCAGGGCGAGTGGGAGAGGGAGAAGCAGGCTTCCCACCGAGGAGGGAGCCTGATGCGGGGCTCGATCCCAGGACCCTGTGATCATGACCTGAGCCAAAGGCAGACGCTTAACGACTGAGCCACTCAGGCGCCCCAACAAACACGAATTTAATAACATGTATCCCTCCTGAATACATGGGAGATACCCAGGAAAATGGAGTCACTCCCTGAAATGGGTCAGGTTATCATCTTAAGTACCACCTCTAGCTAAAGAAAAAAGAAGATGGCATATTCTGGGGTTACAAATCCTGTTCCCTTTCAAATCCTACAGATTTCACCTCTGCGATCGGTCAATGTTCTGTCCTCTTTCTCTGGCTCCCATAGCAGGCTAGGGCTTCATTCTCTTTAAATCCAGGCTTATTTCAATTCCTGCTTCTCCAGTGACGGAATGCCATCCCAACATATGCCTCTTTGGCATGACGACTATTTTGAGCTGATTATTTCAGAGAAACAGGAGACACAGGTAAAGCTCTGAAAAGAGAAGTTCCCTTTTGCAAGGGAAATTTATATTTATAAAGGAAATCCCCATTTCTATGTGTGTCTCCACTCTGTACCAAAAGAGAAGGAAGAAAAAGATGAAGCACTGCAAACTCAAATCAATGGAGAGAGTGCACTTAAAATCTGCATTATCAACCCTTATTCTGGTTTACCATTTTTTCCCTCCTCCCACCCAACAAGAGCCTCTTCCATGCCCTTCTTTTTGTTTATAGCTGTAGATGGTATAATTTTAAACCATCTAAGAGTTACTCACTTTTCCCAAGGCATCTCTCATGTATATATGTTAATAAAACTTTTTCTCTTGTTAATTCTATCTTTGGCTATAGGGTCCCCAGCACAGATCTTATAAAGGTAGATGGAAAATTATTTTTTCCTCACACTCCTTGCCTCTTGATTCTAGTTATACTAATTTAGTGTACTTCAGCTACCAGATTAAGCAATTAAAACGCATTCTAGATCTTATCATTTTTAAAAATTTTATTTATTTATTTGAGAGAGAATGGAGAGAGAGCACATGAGGGGGGGAGGGTCAGAGGGAGAAGCAGACTCCCTGCTGAGCAGGGAGCCCGATACGTGACTCGATCCCGGGACTCCAGGATCATGACCTGAGCCGAAGGCAGTTGCCCAACCAACTGAGCCACCCAGGCGCCCTAGATCTTATCACTTTTTTGAAAATGAATATAACACTCTCAAAGACTCTTCAGCAAGTTAATTACAAACACCTCACTACTGATAATACAAACATTTCTACAATGTGGTCCCAACACTTTAAAAATGTTGCTTTCAATTAACCGTTTTTTTTTTTAAAATATACATGTTCATGCTATTTCGAACAGTGCGGAACATTAAAGGATGAAAAAGTACAAGTCTCCTTCCTCAGTCTCATCCTCTCAAGTTCTATCATTACTAGGAACAACTACAAACAACTTCTAGTGCAGTTTTTCAAGAATTTCCAATGACATAAGAGCACATACATGTGTATCTCGCTTAGAGCCACAACTGTTCTACAACATGCTTTTTCCCCCTAGTTACTATCTTTTGAACTTTTTAAAATGTTAACTCAGATTTACTTTCTTGTATGTATGTATGTATTTATTTATAAAAGATTTATTTATTTGAGAGAGAGCACACATGTGAGCACGAGCAGGGGGAAGGGCAGAGAGAGAGGGACAAGCGGACTCCCCACTTAGTGGGGAGACTGAGGCAGCGCTCAATCCCAGGACCCTGAGATCACTGACATGGGAAACAAAGGCAGAAGAAAAATTATTAAATTTCCTTATAACCTACAGCCCATTGACAAGTCCTTAAAACAGGCAAAGTGACATTCCTCTAGGGACTCAGCTGCCTCGATGTTAATACCTTGTAAAGGGCAAAGGCAATCTTAGCCCAACCCCCAGGACCCTGTAAGTCTACTTTAACATATAAAAATTCCTTTGGAAACTTCCTTTATCTTTATCTCCCAAGATACATGTTGGCAATCATCCCCCAAGCATATGACCCACCGATATATACCCGAAGGATCTCATGACTCAGGTTTTATTAGACAGTAATAAATGATCTTTTCCCAACAATAGCTAGCCCCTCCAAGGTCCTGGAAACCTTGCTTCCAAAATTCCTTAGAGACTTATGCTATCCCTACCCGCCTCCCAACCTGAAAGTATATAATGGGCCACTCCTCATGACCCCAGTGCCGCTCTTTCTCCCCAACGGGTTCTGTCCTCGTGCTTTAATAAAACCACCTTTTTGCACCAAAGACGCCTCAAGAATTCTTTCTTGGCCGTCAGCTTGGAACCCTGCTGTCTTTCCTACATCAATCATGATCTGAGCCGAAATCAGACACTTAACTGACTGAGCCACCCAGGTGCCCCTACTTTGTTTTTAAAGCTGCACAATGTTTTATTATACAAATGCACCACAGTGTAACCAATGCACTATAATTTATTTAACCGATGTATATACCGCCTCCATAAAAATGGGCACTTTTGTTGACTCTGTTGGATTTCTCTCTCCACAGACAGTGTTTGGCAGTCCCCAGTTTTGCCTATTTGTGAGTAATTAAACTGGATTTTTTAAAATACATTTTGTAAACTTTGTAATTTTGCTGGGGGCAAGAATTTCAATTCTTCTATGGTTCTCAAACTTTAGCATTCATTGGAATCACCTGGAGGGCTTAAAGTAAAAGGATCTAAGGATATGATGATTTTTACCTAGAAAAGAGACTTTCTGGATAAATTAAAAATATTATCGGGTCCCTGGCTGGCTCAGTCGGTAGAGCATGCTGCTCTTGATCTCAGGGTCTTGAGTTCAAGCCCCACGTTGGGCCTAGAGCTTACTTAAAAACAAACAAACAAACAAACAAAAAATATTATAGCATCTGATTCAGGGGTGGCTCCATCTGTTGTGTAAATGAATTCACAATCAAAAGCTTAAAAAAAATTTGTAAAAACTCCAGCTGTTTCAGGAAGTATTCTGGCTAACATAAAAACAGCTCACTAGATAAGAGCTCACACTTGTTGAAGCTGAAAATTTGATTAAAGTTGAGTGAGGATAATACATTGGAAACATGACAAATGTGATTTGCAAAGACAAAGTCATACGCCTGGTATAAATATCTCCATATTTGCAAATCTGGGGATTCAAGATGACCTTGAACATATTCTTTACCAATGTTAAGAGTTTAATATATTCCCCTTATTTTACAATATATTTTATTTAGACTGACCAATCATGATTGTTATCCTTCAAACACCACAGCCATCCAACATTACCCAATGTAATCTCCTATTCCTTTGAATTTCACATAGCCTTTCCTCGAGATCTCTCTCCCAACATTTATATTCATTCATTGTAGAAGTACTGTTAATGATGTGGAGAACAAAGGCAAAAGGAAAAAGAAATTAAGCTTCCTTATAACTTAACAGTCCATTGACAAGTACCTGGCACAGGGAGGGTGATCTTCCTCCAGAAACTCAACTACCTCAAAGTTAATTCTTTGCTAAAGGCAAAAGGCAACCTTAGATTGACATTAGCCCAGCCTCCAGGATCTTGTAAGTCTACCTTAACATATGAAAATCCTTTTGGAAACTTCCTTTCTCTCTACCCCTTCCCCTCAAGATATATGTTAGCAATCATCCTCCAAGCATATGGTCCACTGATACACATCTGAAGGGTCTCATGACTAAGGTTGTACTAAGACAGTAATAAATGACCTTTTCCTAACAACAGCTAGTCCCTCAAGGTCCTGGAAACCTTGCTTCCAAATTCCTTAGAGACTTATGCTATCCCTAACCCCCTTCCAATTTGAAAGTATATAATTAGTCACTCCTCACAATCCCAGTGCAGTTCTTTCTGCCCATGGGTTCTGTCCCTGTGCTTTAATAAAACCACCCTTTTTGCACTGAAGATGCCTCAAGAATTCTTTTTTTTAAAAAAACAATTACTTATTTATTAGAGAGGGAGAGCTCAAAGGGAGAGTGAGAGGGAGAAGCAGACTCCCTGCTGAGCAGAGAGCCTGATATGGGGCTCAATCCCAGGACCCTGAGATCATGACCTGAGCCAAAGGCAGCTGCTTAACTGACTGAGCCACCCAGGCGCCCCTCAAGGATTCTTTCTTGACTGTTCTCTCCGAACCCCAACATTTCACATCATTAGGACTCTAACTTTTAATAGTTGTGACACATAATTGTGAGACTAGTTTCTAAATCTCATTAGCATCTATGAAGGCAGTGGTGATATCTCAAGAATTATTGAAGACCTAGGTATTTTAGGTGTGAAGGAATAAATCTTTATGCTTGGGGTGGACAGAAGGGCAAAGCTATTCTGAGTATGTAGTCTGTCCTGCTGTATTACCAAAGATTTGTAATAGTTGGAATGCTCTATTTTTCTACAGCCAACTGACCACCAGTAATACCAGATTATATATATGTGCTTTTATTTGATCAAATAGTAAATGAATTTACTGGCCGTTGCAGTCGTGCTCTCCGAGTTCCTGTCTCCCTCCCCGCACCGCCCGGGATGGCCTCCCAGAACCGTGACCCAGCTGCCGCCAGTGTCGCCGCCGCCCGCAAGGGAGCCGAGCCCAGCGGGGGCGCCACCCGGGGCCCCGTGGGTAAGAGGCTACAGCAGGAGCTGATGAGCCTCATGATGTCTGGTGACAAAGGCATCTCTGTCTTCCCTGAATCCGACAACCTTTTCAAATGGGTGGGGACCATCCATGGGGCAGCAGGCACAGTTTATGAGGACCTGAGGTATAAGCTCTCGCTGGAGTTCCCCAGGGGCTACCCTTACAACACGCCCATGGTGAAGTTCCTCACACTCTGCTACCACCCCAACGTGGACACCCAGGGAAACAACTGCCTGGACATCCTGAAGGACAAGTGGTCTGCCCTGTATGATGTCAGGACCATCCTGCTGTCCATCCAGAGCCTGCTAGGAGAACCAAACATTGATAGTCCTTTGAACACGCATGCTGCCGAGCTCTGGAAAAACCCCACATCCTTTAAGAAGTATCTGCAAGAAACCTACTCGAAGCAGGTCTCCAGCCAAGATCCCTGACTGTCCAGCCTCTCTGTGTTGTCTTTTTATTTTCTCCTTAGATAGTCTTTCTCTTCATTTCTGTCTAGGACTCTGTATCTTAAGCTGTGGTGTCATTTTTGTTTTGTTTCTGTTTTTTAAATTAAGTCTCTGGTTGAGCCCTTGTGATGAATATATTAAATACATTGGTTTTTTTTTAAAAAAAAATAGTAAATGAATTTACTGAGTGGCAAATGATATGGAAAAGGAATAGGAACTAGGGTATAGCATGGTAGACTGCTTATTACCTAATTCTTTCCTTTCTTTCCTACTAATAGAATCTCAATTTTGTTGGAGGGTGGCCATTTGCTCAGCCAAAAAATTCCTCAGCTTCACAGTTAGGGTGGCTATATGACACTGTTCTCTCCAAATACATGTGAGGAGAAAGTTCTGCTTTACTTCATTGAGTATCTTCCTCCCTGGAAGATGGACATGTTGGCCAGGACTGCAACAGCCATTTTGTGACCAAGAGAAAAGCCAAGAGAATTTCAAAGACCTCTGTCTTGATATCCTTGTACTCCCTAATTAATACCAGCAACTGCCTACTTTTTAGATCTCTCCTTATATTAGAAAAATAGAATGTTTATTGTTTATTAAAGACACTGATTTTGGGTTTCTGTCTCTCCTAGGTGCAACTAATAAAAAAGACAAAGGAAGCACGTGGGTGGCTCAGTAGGTTAAGTGTCTGCCTTAGGCTCAGGTCATGATCCCACGGTCCTGGGATCCAGCCCCACAACAGGCTCCCTGCTTGGCAGGGAGCCTGCTTCTCCCTCTCCCTCTGCCCCCCACTCCCTCCACCCCCGCCATGTACATGCTCTCTCTCTCAAATAAATAAAATCTTAAAAATAAAAGACAAATACGTACAAATCTAGACCCTTAAAGAACACACATAACAGTAAACAATACAAGACAGTGTATAAACTACTACTTTATGAAAAATCATCAGGAAATGCCACAGGAGTTCGGGGGAATATGCTTTACAAAACAAATGAATTAAAAACAGGTCCTAAAAAGGTCATAAATCTGAGTGCTGATATAAATTAAAGTTGGGATACAGAGATATTTTTAAAAGCCTGGTAATTGCATTGAGCCACTTAAGCAGTTGTATTTAAATCTTGATTCCCTGCCCCCTTCCTTTTCTAAATATAGACTCAATAGTGGGCTTTCCACTTACTCAGTATAGTACCCGGAGAACATCTGATGTTATCTTAAAATAGAAGAAAGGAAGGAATTTTTGTTAGAAGTCACCTCTAGGAAGGAAACTCACTCAAGTTTCAAAAACAGCACCAGCTTATAAGGAGTAATTGTTGGTGTTTACAAGGAAGCCATAAAAAGTTGAGATGTGTTTAAATTAGAAATGGGGCACCTGGGTGGTTCAGTCAGTTAAACCTCTGCCTTCAGCTGGGGTTATGATCCCAGAGTCCTGGGATCAAGCCGGGTTCTGGGCTCCCTGCTCAGCGGGGAGTCTGTTTTTTCCTCTCCCTCTCTTTCTGCCCCTCCCCTCGTGTGCTCTCTCAGATAAATAAATAAAATCTTAAAAAAAATTTTTTTTAACTGGTTGGGGAGTGTCTAGTGAGAGCGAAGCCAGTGTCCATCTTGAATACTAGATGGAGGTCATATCGCCCACAAGGCAGGGCTGGACCGGCCACGGAGGACACAGAACACACAGGCAAGACTCAAGAGATAGGAATGCTTGCTTATCATTCAAAAGCATGTAGGGGCTGAGGGCAGGCCGCCCCAAGATGGGCCACTCTGGCATGAAGATTATTTTGAGCTGAAGGCAATCAGGACCCTATGGGCTCAAGAGAAACTTTTGCCCATGCTTTAAACACTTAGAAGAACTCTAAAGTGGGGGTCTTTCCCAGAATAAGGAGAGATACATTTTACCTGAGTGACCCATCTGTACGGCTGGGCAAACATCTGCTCTTCTTATTGCCCTATGAACTGCATTCCTTTCCTCTCAAGTCCCTGACCCCTACTCCCTTCTCCTTAGTTCAGAATGACACAGAAATCTCGTTTTCCCTGTCTTTGGAATTTCCATGTCTGTGTGCATTACCATATGTATGCTATTAAATTTGATTTTCTCCTGTTGTCAATTGATTTCTTAATTGATTCTCAGTCCATCGAAAAGAACCTTCAAGGGGTCACAGTTCAGCCCATAACAATGATTAACATCTAAAAAAAATTCATAGAATGTTAAACTTACATAATAGATGTTAAATAAGGAATCTTCCTGTTTCAGTTCAATTCAGGGATTGGTATCCTACTAAGGTGAGGGAAGGAAAAGAAAGAATTGGCTTCATGACTGGGGCCCTTACCCACTTAAGGAATACAAAAGGGTGAAAAGAGTGAAGAGGGTGTCTGGAAGAGTTGTTGCTGTGCCCTCTGCCTCCGAGGGAATGGGTACGGCAGAGTGCTACCTTCTCACCAAGCAAGAGGGGCCTTTCAGGGGGTCACCTGGAGAATGTGTTTTCTGTGGAAGGCTGAGGCCTGATCCAAGCTACAAAGCATATTCCGTGGGACAGAAGTGGCTCTGCTATGCTCCACCAGCAGCACATACACTAAAATTGGAACAGTAAGGGTATTAGCATGACCCCTGTACAAGAATGACATGCAAATTCATGAAGTGTTCCATCTTTTTTATAGTTGAGAACATTGTATTGTATAATTGAAGTTTGCGGAGAGTAGAATTTAAATGTTCTGAAGTGTTCTCACAAACACACAAAGATAAATATGTAAGGTGATGGGTGTATTAACTAAATGGGGAAAATCCTTTCACAGCGTGTATATATATATATATATATCCAATCACAATGTACACTTTAAATATTTTAGAATTTTGCCAGTTATAACGCCATAAACATGAAATTTTTTTTTTAAAGATTTTATTTATTTATTTGACAGAGAGAGACACACAGTGAGAGAGGGAACACAAGCAGGGGGAGTGGGAGAGGGAGAAGCAGGCTTCCCACCGAGCAGGGAGCCCGATGCGGGGCTCGATCCCAGGACTCTGGGACCATGACCTGAGCCAAAGGCAGATGCTTAACAACTGAGCCACCCAGGTGTCCCATAAAGATGAAATTTTTAAAAAGTGGCTTTGTTGTAATGGCTTGTACTCCTAGAGTCTGTCAGAGCCAGGGATAAGTGAATGCTCCCACACAGGAGGGAACCAGCCAGAAACGTATTTCTGTCCAGCCCACAAGAGCCACCTGAAAGGGAGGGACTTCAAAGGCAAGAGCCTATATGGAGTGGATCACTCAAAAAAAAAAAAAAAAAAAATCAGGCTGAGGTAGAGTGGGGTGCCCCCCAAAATTAATATGGGGTTACAGTGAAAGAGAGAAAGTCAACTTTAAATATCTTGCAGGCCCAGGGAGCACAAACCTAACCAGTCAAATAAGAACTCTCATTTTGGGACACCTAGGTGGCACAGTCAGTTAAGCATCCGACTCTTGGTTTTGGCTCAGGTTGTGATCTCGGGGTCCTGAGACTGAGCCCCTCATAGGGCTCCTCACTCAGCGTGGACTCTGCTTAAGACTCTCTTTCCCTTTCCCTCTGCCCCTCCTGCCACGTGCTCACGCACGCGTGCTCTCTCTCTCCCCCCAGATAAATAAGCCTTAGAAAGAAAAGGGGTGCCTGGGTGGCTCGGTTGGTCTGACTCTTGGTTTTGACTCAGGTCATGATTTCAGGGTCCTGGGATTGAGCCCTGTGTCGGGCTCCCTGCTCAGTGGGGAATCTGCTTGAGATTCTCTCTCAAGATTCTCTCAAGGCTCCTCTGCCTCACGCTCTCTCTTTCTTAAATAAATAAACTTAAAAAAAAAAATCTCTCATTTCTTTACTTCCTCAGTAAAAGAAATCCTTCCTCCTACCCTATTAACCCAAAAATCTGAAGCAGCGGCTAGTGGGGGAAAGAGCAGCAGTAGGGAAAGAGAGAGGTTGACTACGTCCTCCTCTCTCATCCCAGATTACTGGCCACCACTAAGTAGGGGGGGAGGAGCCACCTGCAGTAAGCCATAGCTTTGGGGTGGTAAAGAAGTCTGTGTTAGTCAGGATAAGTTATGGGGCAGTAATAATACAAAAATCTCAGTTCCTTAACACAAAAAAAGTTTATTTTTCATTCACACGAAGTCCAATATGGGTCCAGATGACTCTCCGGGGCAGCTGTCCTCCGTGGATTGGCTCAATATTCCAGGCTGTTTTGATACTGTGTCATCTCCATGTCATCATGATGCTTCAGGATTTGCTCCAACAGCAGGAAAGACTATGGACAACTGTGTCCCTTTTCATAACTACACTGGCCCAGAAGTGGCCATACCATCTCCAGACAGTCTATTGGCCAGAATAGCAAAGCCTGCCCAAATACAAGAAGGGGAGAAGAGCTAAAAATATTGGTGGGTACTAGTAATGTCCATCTAGAAGTCTCACTACAGAATTAACATCGAAGGCTGCCTGGGTGGCTCAGTTGGTTAAGCGACTGCCTTTGGCTCAGGTCATGATCCTGGAGTCCTGGGATCGAGTCCCGCATCGGACTCCCTGCTCGGCAGGGAGTCTGCTTCTCCCTCCGACCCTCTTCCCTCTCGTGCTCTCTATCTCTCATTCTCTCTCTCTCAAATAAATAAAT